TGAGAGAGATAGAGAGCACGAGAGGGAAGAGGGAAGAGGGTCAGAGGGAGAAGCAGACTCCCCGCCGAGCAGGGAGCCCGATGTGGGACTCGATCCTGGGACTCGAGGATCATAACCTGAGCCGAAGGCAGTCGCTTAACCAACTGAGCCACCCAGGCACCCAATAATAATAAAATTTAAATTCCCTTTCAGGGGTGCCTGGGTGGCTCAGTCGGGTAACCGTCCAACTCTTGATCTCAGCTCAGGTCTTGACCTCAGGGTCGTGAGTTTAAGCCCTGCATTGGGCTCCACCCTGGGCATGGAGCCTACTTTAAATAAATAAATGACTAGATAGATAGGTAGATAGATAGATAAATAAATAAGTAAATTCCCTTTCAAACAGTTCTTTGCTCATGATTTTTTTTAAAAAATGATCTTTAAGAGCACATAGAACAAGCATACCATACTTGAATGGCTACCTATCAAAATGTGATCTTCTGACTTTGGTGCTTATTCTTGCCTTTGAAAGGCTCAAAAGAAATACTTTCTAAAGACACACTCATACAGCAAGGAAAAATACTCGTAACATTAATACCTTGATTCTTTCCAAACTTTATCAGTGTGGTTTAACATGTAAATATGGCCGTTGTTTTTCAAGATTTTACCTACTCTTTATTCACTTCTCAAAGAACAGATTTAATGGATGAGATTACAGCTCCCTATCATGAAATTAATTTCATATACTTGAAAAAGTTACTTTGATCAACACCTGGGGGAAAAGATAAATAGCCTAAGCCAGCTTTTTTAGCTGTAGGGACTAAAGATTAAAGAATTAGAAAATGTGATAAAATAAAGCCTTGAAACTGCAGTACCACAAATTACACACACACAAAAAAAAATTAGACACTGTTTTTATAACCATCAGTCCTTTCAAGTTAGGACCGAGGCACTGACCTGATGTGGAAAATGATTTAAATATTAAATTAAATGTATTTAAATATTTAGCAGTTTGATTACTTCTAATCTAAGGCATAATTGCCATAGGTTTTTCACAACTAAAACACGTTACAAACTTTCCATTAGTGCAAAATTAGGAAAGCTTTATAGTATATACAAATGAATATAGTATATACAAATAATACATTTCTATTACAAATAGAAATGTAAAAAAATATTTTTGAGGTACTATAGAAAGCAGTTTATGAAAAGGATAATTATTGGTTATGTCAAGGTGCTGAGCTTGAGTAGGGAAGAAAATGTGGACTCTGATTCAGACTGTATCACTTATTAGCTATATGATGTTGAGAAAGTTACCTAGCTCCTGAGTCCCAGTTTCTTTATATATAAAATGTACTACTTCAAGTATTGAGATTATGAGAAAATGCATATAAATGGTCTCACAATTCCAAGGCACGTGGGTGGCTCAGCCAGTTGAGCGTATGACTCTTGGTTTTGGCTCAGGTCGTGGTCTCAGGGTCAGGGGACTGAGCCCCTCTTCGCCGGACTCGGCTCTCAATGGGGAGTCTGCTTGAGATTCTCTCCCTCTCCCGCTTCCCACCCCCTTCCCACCTCCGTTTGCGTGCATGCACATGCTTGCTTGCTCGCTCTCTCAGGTAAATAAATCAATCTTAAAAAAAAAAAGTCTCACAATACCAGACATATACTATGGCTTTTCTAATTCTAACAGATTTGCATAATTTCACAGAGCGGTAATTACAAAGTAAAACACTGAATAGAAGTTTAAGTTGTACCAAAGGAATAGTAACTAGGAGAAAAAATCCCCAATGACTTTGAACGTAAAAGAGTCATTAAATTACTTAATTAACTTTTATTTATTAACCTTACTTAAATGTATTTGTTTATTAACCTTCATTTATTTATTAACCTTACTTGAATTAATTTTTATTCTTTATTGTTAGCTACCGTGGCCCTTACTTAGATATTTGTAAACTAGCAACAAAAAAAGGTGAATAGAAATCTAGGAACTGAAGATGAAAACTGCTGAGCCAAACTAAATAAATTTCCTTGACCATGTCCATGATAGTCAGAATCATGCCAAAGAGTTCTCCTTAGATTATAATTCTCTAAGCATACACTGTATATTGCAGAAATTATCTGGTGTTCTCAACAGAACAATCAAGAAATACCACAGAGCAGAACAAGTGGTATCCTGAAACTCCACAAAGATTTTGCAGCAACCCCCCTAAATTATAGTACAGATATAAAGAACTTTAATAAATTGTTGACCAAAGAAACTTCCTACAAACATTTTACAAGGCAACACTAGACAGAAATATTTGTCTTAAAATTTTCCAAGAAAGAACCCGCGCAACTTAGTCCCTTGAAATTTATCATTCTCCTTCATTGAGAACTTCACTTTTCAAAAACCTGGACACTAACTGCTTAAGGAAAGTGTCTTTTTTTTTTTAAGATTTTTTTATTTGACAGAGAGAGAGCGAGCGAGAGAGGGAACACAAGCAGGAGGAGTGGGAGAGGGAGAAGCAGGCTTCCCGCCGAGCAGGGAGCCCAAAGCGGGGCTGGATCCCCGGGCCCTGGGATCATGACCTGAGCCGAAGGCAGACACTTAACGACTGAGCTACCCAGGGGCCCCGGAAAGTTAGTGTCTTAATAATACATAGTATCCTCCTCAATAACAAACAAAATAGAAACACTAAATATAAATTTGATTCTAGCTCATTCACAAGTTCTGATTTTTTCCTCCAAGTTCTTTATTATCCAATCAAGACAGTTCAAATATACTTACTTAAATTTAGACATTTTAACTTCTGTTAACCACTGAACAGTTTACTATTACACAGTTAAAATACCAACATATTTTAAAACTGCAGTCTTTAATACAAGTTAAGGCAATCATGTAACACTGTGTGTAAATAACAGCAAATATCACATTGAAGTTTATTTCCTACTTACATTCTACAAACATCTCTAATTCACAGTTTCACTAATTTTATAATTTCCCCAATGAGAGATGTGAAGGCTACAGAAAACTGAAAATGTGCCTTTATAACTTCAGTAAATTTCATGAACCTCAACCATCATAAAGATCATGGAAACGTACCAAATTAAATAAATGGCGTTTGTGACATTAAAAGTGAGATTTTCCTTCCAAAGTCACCAAAACCACTCTTTAATATTCAACAAAAAGTCGGAATTGCAGGGTTTCATGTGTGTGTTTTTTAAATGTCAGGGTGGTATGATCTTCTTTGGATGTATGGCTGTTGAAAGCTGAGTTGTACAAAAGAAATTTTTAGAGAACAGAGGCTTTTTTTTTACATATTTATTCCCAGAGCCTGCCCTTCATCTCATTTTGGCTTTCCACATTGATCCAATTGTAGCACTTCCTGGAGGGAGCTATGTTCTAATCAGCAACATCAGGAAGAGAATTGGACAAAGCAAAATGAGAAAATGCAGATCTTCTCATGTCATGTCTCTTTGAAAACAGGGAATACTTTCTAAGTTATCAGGCAATAGAAGCCACAATTTAATTTTTAGTAATTTTTACCTGTGATGGACATGAACAGGAAACATGGAATGAGTCCTTCATCTATTCAATAGGTGCACGATTCCTATTGAGGTGAATACCTTGTAGCAGAATTTTACTTTGTTCCCTGCCCCATATAGTTGTGCTGACCTTCAAGCCTCATTAGTAGGCTATTCAGTAAATCTCCACCGAATGGTGAATCAGAGGAGAAACAATCTAGAAACCCTAAATTACCTAATATTACTTCCCGTTAAGAATTTTCTCTTTACAGTTGCTGGAAAGCTACTGAGTTAAAGCTGCCGTGCCAACTCCCCAAAGATAATGGTTTGGACTCCTAATTGAAACGGCTGCAATCCTCTTGGATTGCCAAAAAGGAAGGAACCAATCATTTAAAGAGAACTCGGACTACATATCGTCACCTCTCCAAAGCCAAAAACAAAACATTTTACACACTAGCACTGCCTGGACACTTAGGCCAAGGATGGCCCCGGGAGCTGACAAATCCACGCCTACTCCTGCTTCTCAGTTGGGGGCGCCTTGGGGGACCGGAGGGCGAGGCAGCTTGAAAGAGACCTTGACCGAGTCGTAGAGGAACCACTGCAGCGCAGTCAGGGCGCTGATCATGATGATGCGGGCGAACAGGCCCTTCCACACGCCCGCAAAGCCAGTCTGGGGAGCACTCCGAAGGCCGTACTGCCCTTCTCCTTGTTCAAAACGTACACGATGTAGTCGGCCGGGTGGGACACGACGGCGCAGAAGATGCTGGCGATGTAGCCGGCCACGAAGGTGACGGCCAGCTGCTCGGCCTTGGCGCACTGGCGCTGGGGCCTGGGGACGACGTCCCTCGAGAGGGCCTCCACGGTGCGCTCGAAGCAGGCGAACTTCATCATGGCGCAGGGGATCTGCCGCAGCCACAGCCACAGCGCCGCCACGCCCTTGTAGAAGGCCCACGCGCCCTCCGGGGCCGTACAGCCGCGGGGCGGCGGCGCGCAGCGTGCGGGCGAAGCCGGGCTGCGTCTGGATGCGCACCTTCCCCGCCTGCATGGGCGCCAGCGCCACGTCGGCGAAGAACTCGGCGCTGGCCGACGCGGCCAGGTACAGGCTGGCTCTCCACTCGTACGCCTTCTCCGGGCCCAGGAGCTGGGTGTAGCGGCTCTTGAAGACCTCGTAGAGGCCGAACTTGCACAGGCCCTGCAGGGAGTAGCCCAGGAGGGTCGGGGCCCAGCCTCGGGCCAGGCCGCGTAGCCCGTCGTCGCGCACCGTCACGCCGAAGCCGCGGACGATGCCCCTGTACTTGCCGGGGTCCACCTGCATGCGGCACTTGACCAGGTGCGGGGGCACGATGGCCGTGTGCGTCAGCCCGCAGCTCAGCATGCCGCCCAGGCCGCACAGCAGCAGGTGCCTCGTGGAGCCGTACTCGTAGCTCTGCTCCTCCTCCGCCGCTGCCGCCGCCCAGGGACTGCCCGGGAGGGGGCCCGCGCTTCTCGCGTGCGGGGCCCCGTAACCGCCAGCGTCACGCATGACCGCGCCGCCTCCGGTCTCACACTTCCCTCGCCCGAGCTCTTCCCTTGCAGGGGCCGCAGGGCAGGTGCGCCCGCGAGCCCAACGGTCGGGGTGAGCCCCAGGCGCAGCCGGTGTCCGCAGGGCTTCTGCCCGAGTTCGATGCGCGCCTGCGCAGGCGCTACTGGCCCGGTGAGGCCCGCTCGAGGAGGAGTATCCCCCTGCCCTTCACGTCCAGGACCGCCCTCCATCCCTCCCTCACACCTTTGGCCCTCACACCTCCAGCCCCTCCTGTCAGCCCTCCTCAGCCAATGGGCAGTGGTCCCTAGGTCTCACCTTGAGCCATAGGTAGGGCTCTGCTTGTCCAGGTGGCTTCTGTCCAGCTCAGCTGCCTAGTCCTCTACAAAGACGCTAAAGAAATAAATCAACAAGTACAAACAGGAGTACACACAGGAATAGGCGAGCAAATAGATAAGGAGTTGGACGAGGGGGCGAAGAGTCGCCATGCACTGTTGCCTTCCTGAGGGGCCTTTCTTGAGTCCTCACCTAACTGTGCCCACTTAGGACAATGGCCGTCTCCATGACAACAGTGTTCTGTGGAGGGAAGCGGTAGAGAGAACCAGGAACCTGGTGTTGGAGGCCAGTCCTGCGGCTTCTAGCCTAACACTCTCATCTGTTAGATGCGACATCTAACCCCAGCACTCACACTCCACTCCTGTTTCCCGCCAAGAGTTGCAGTGAGGGCCTAGGAAGCATGGAGGTACTCACTAAATTGGGGGGACAGAGAGTCTGTTGATTATTTTCATTCATTCGGTATTTTTTCTTTGACTACTGAGTCCCTGGCATAATTTTGGAGATCACAAAAGTGAGCCCAAACTGCTCACTTCCCTGAGGGAGACTGCAGTCTCATTGGCCTGGGAAATGAGAGCTAAGTGACTCCATGTGTAAATCAGTAGCATACATTCATTCATTCACCCACTTTGTGCCCTGCCGTGTGCAGAGTTAGGGGTTTAAGAAAGAGCTAGACATATTCCTGCTTATTTCTAAACAAGGAGATTTAGAAATCAGCATTGTGCGGTAAGTAGTATAATAGGGGTCTGAATAAAATTCTGTATGAACAATGGGGGAGCAACTAATACTGCCTCATGAGGTTGAGAAGACTTCCCAGAGGAGATGACAACGTAGCTAGGTCTTGAAAGATGAGTAGAAGTCCATCAGTCACATAGAGTAGTAAGTCCAGGTTAGGGGAAACATGAATATATGAACTATTGAGGAGAGATGAGTAATTCAACATGAAACTAGCCAGGATTGAGTCTGGAAAAATAGAATTGGGTCAAATTAGGCAAAACCTTAACACCTTGTTCAGCACTTTGACTTTTATGCTGTAGGGAGGCCAGCATTTCTCAGAAGTGTGATCCATAGACCTCCTGCATCAGGATCACCTGGAATGCTTTATTTAAAATCTAAGATCACACCCCAGACCCTCTGAATGAGAATCTCTGAGGGTAGGAATATGCAATTTTAATAAGCTCTCTTAGGTGGATTCTTCATTAAACTTCATTAAAGTTTGAAAACCACAGTATGTGGATGATGGGAGGTCAAAGATTTCTTAAAGTTTCTCTGATCAAATATTTTATCTGGAAGTAGGTGTGTATACAACTCTGCAAATTCATCAAGCTGTACACTTAAGATTAGTGAACATTAGACACTTTATGTATGCCATTTTTTTAGTTGGTGGTATAAAATTCTAAACACAAAGTAAGGATGATGGCCATCAGGAGAGCAGAGGCAGATACAGGTTTTCTCAATCAACAAGTCTTACTGAACTCCTGTCCTTATTGTAGTCTTATACCAGTGTTCAACTAATTAAACAAGGCAAATAGACTAAGGTGGCTTTAATGCTTTAGCAGTCTATGTAAGGAAACCAAAACCTAAGCCTACAAATCTGTCAATGTTAAGAAATTTCCCCTCCACTTGAGTGAATGATTTATTCAGTTAACTAAATTCCCACTGACTGATGATTTAGGATGGGAACTGAAGAAACCAGAACTGACAGGAATGTGAACTTCTTTGACAGTGCCCCAGGATGTGTCACAGCGTCAAATAGATAGGACAGAGATGGCTCACCTGTGGCATAGCAGCCTGGGCCACAGAGAGGAACAGGACAGACACAACTGGGCAGCCTCCCTCCTTTTCCAAACTGCCCCTCCTAGCCTGGTGCTTTACTCAGTTGAATTCTAGCTAGGGCAGCCAGCTTGTCCCGGTTTGCCCCCCACTTTCCCATGTGTAGCACTGAAAGTCCAGCAACCCCAGAACCCTCTCAGTCCCAGGCAAATCAGGATGGCTGGTCATGACACTTCTCTGAGTCCCAACCGTGCCCAAGGCCTCCAGCCACTGCTAGCATGCTACAGTGTAAGAATCTCTGGCTTGGGAGCCAGGCATACCTGGGTCCAAATCCTGGCTCGTTCCATTTCTAGCTACAAATCCTGTAAATGTCATCTAACTTTCTTGAACCTCAGTTTATCCATAAACCTCATCCTATTCTTTCCTGAATTTGTGATAAACTTCGTATTATCATTAAATTAAATGACAACACAGTGCTTGCAACGATGTAGGCCGTCAATGAATGTTTGTTTTTTTTTTTTCCTTCCTGACCTCCTTATACTTGGGAGAGTTTTATTATCTCCTGGGGTACCAGATGTCTGAAATATCCCTAAAACTTGTTTCAGGGAAGGGAGGTGGCCATTAGGCAATAGGGGGCACTGTTGCCACTCTTCCTCTCTTCCCTCCTCACACCACAGCAGTAAGGCTTTAGTAAACCACTGATCAAAGATGGCTAAACTCTAAACCCACACTTGGTTTTAACTTATCTAAATGTGTCCCACATGCCTGCAATAATGTTCAGGGTGTATCTGGATGATTTTAAATCTTGTACATTTAATTCATAATCCTTCTCACTCCAGAAGGTTTATGATGTGCCAGGGAGTCAGATGTTTATTCCTAGAATTATTTAACCCCAATCAACTAATTATTCTGATGAATTGTATGCCTTTTTTCTTTTTGCTTGACCAGATTGGAAACAATGACAGGCATTCAACTGAGATTTACTGTAAAGCTTAAACAGACTGGGAATTATGGAGTTCCTTAAACTGTCTCTGAAAATAAATATTTCTGATTTATCTGGAAAGTTGCAGGAGAAAAAGCAACAATCCCCAAACTCATTAAACTAAGTAAGTCTAACCATGTTTAAAGAAAATGTTGTGGGAGGTAATAATCCCTAGATGTTTAGATGAAAACTGTTCATAACAAATCTTCATGCCTTTTTGTTTGTTTAAGGAATTATTTGTGCAAAGTAACATTAGTGCTCCCAGGGTAGCAATTGTTTATCTAGGGTGGGTTCTAGGGGAGAAGGGCATAAATCAAATAATTTTTTTATTAAATTTCCAAAGTTCTTAACAATATTAAATGTCCAAAGGACTCCACTTATCAAGCAGCATGTACATAATTGATCCATGCCCTCTGGTTGTGATCTTAGAATCTAAAGGGCTGTGTTATCTCAGGAATGGTGTAACCTTAGTATATAATGACATTCTTCTTTCTTTTCTAGTTTGCGGAGTTTTTTACTAGTAATTTATACCTACCAAGATAAATATGAAAACATTCCTATAAAAATAACATCAATGCATCTCAAGATTCAAAATGCAATCCAGAGTTTTATTAGACTCTTCTAGTTGACATCTTCTAATAGATAAATATTTCCAATTCTAAAGCATGAGACAGAGTTTCGGTTCCATTAGAAAGACCCTAAATGACAAAGAGTAGATTCAAGTTAGTGAAGGTAATCTCACCAACATGAGGAAGGGACCTGTCCAAGTGGCCTACTATGCATGACAGTGGTGTAACAGCTTGAATCGGAGCTACTGTTAAAAACCTGCTCTTTGGAAGTAGAAGAAGGCCTGCACAGACAAATCTCTCTTTCAGTGCTGTCCAGTAGAAATACAATGTGGGACATATATGCATTTTGAAGTTTTCTGGTAACCACCTTGAAAAAGTGAAAAACCACATTAAAATACAGTATGTCATTTAACTCAATATACTCAAAATATCATTATTTCAATGTATAATCTATACAAAATTATCAGTGAGATATTTTACATTCTTTTTTATACTATGTCTTTGAAATCTGGTGTGTATTTTATGTTTTTGGCACATCTTAATTTGGACTGACCACACTTCAAAGTGTTCAACAGCCACATGGGGGTAAAGCTATGGTATTAGCTCAGGTTTCATCTATGCTTGGAGAGCCTGGAGCCACCCAGAAAGGCTGAGCAGCTGAATCAAATGTCCTGGCTGGAGGTGGGGATACTATTTCTTTCTCTTCGTTCCCCATTCCCTTGCCCTTCCTTCTCTTTGGTACCATGTAATGCATGCTAACCATGTGCCAGATACCAGACACTGTGCTGGGCATTGTAAATGCATTATAATCTTGCAAGAGTCGGAGATCTTATTTTATAAAAGAGTATAAAGTAAATGAAATAACTAAATGATGGCAATGAGAGCATAACGGTTGAGTGAACAGACTTGGGAGCTATTCACACATGTTTCTGTCACTTCTGTATACCTTGGGGAAGACATTTCTTAACTTCTCTAAGCCTTGATTGTATCATCTGTCAAATGGACATAACAAAAGTACCTCCCTTATAGATGTTGTTCTGTGATTTAAATGAGACCATGCCTACATTTCAAAGGTTCTTCTGGCTGGTTGAAGAAGTAAATTGACATGGGACAGATGAACAGGAGAAAAACAAATTTAATTTTGTATGTATGGGAACCCTCATGTATATGAGGGGTTCAATAATGGAAAAGTTAAATGAAGTATATATGCCATCTTGAGCAAAGGAATGGGGTAGGGGCCTGGGGCTTCAAAGGGGAGGAGGGCAATAAGAAGAACAGATTAATAATTAGATGTTTGCCCTGCCATACAGATGAGTCATTCAGATAAAACTTATCTCTGATAGTAACTCTTATTCTGGCAAAACCCCTCCATTTAGATTCTTCTAGGTATTTAAGGAAGGGTAGAAAATTTCTCTTAAGCCTGCAGGGTCTTGATTGCTTTCAGCTCAAAATAGTTCACATGCCAAAGCAGTACATTTTGGGGAGACTTGTTCTGAACCCCTCCACCTGCAAAGCTG